TATAATTATTCCAGTTCCTGCAAATGCCATTTTTTTTAAATACAATTTCAAATGTATCAAACACGGTTAGACTTAGCTATAGGATAATATACACAAAATACATTTAGAATTTGGAGTAGAATCAAAAAATCTAATAATATGTAGGGTGTTGCATTAAAAATATCGCATGCGTGGCTATCTTGAAAATATTTTAGGTCGCTTGGCCCCAATGATTTCGGTATACTGTCCAATCAAATTTCTCCTAATTATAGTTTGCCTCGTACATCGATCGCACTGTATAGCACACACAGAAAAACCTTAATTTAAGCTGGAAAACGTATGTATTTGTGGGATTTGTAATGGGGACCACGGAACAAATGCGACTCCGAAAGAAATGGCGGTGGGATAAAAGTCTAGAACGGGAAATAAATCAGAATAAAAAGGCATATTTGAAATGGATAAGCACAAAGACCAGTGAAGACAGAAAAAGATACGTAGAAGCGAGAAATATAATAAGGAAATGAATCAGACAACAAAAACAGGGATGGGATTTTAAAGATATGTATTTTATTTTCGACTTTTTGCGGCAAATTTTTCTTGTGTTCTTTCAAAAAACAACGACTTTAGATACAGAGCATGTTTGATTTCACAATACAACAACACTTCGTGTAAATTTAAAATTACAGCCGAAAAGTTGGCCATGCTATTTGAAATAGGAGATAGAAATAAAATTTTCGATCGATTAACCGTGGTCAAAATTTTCATATGCAAAAAATCACCTTCACGTTTGCTTTCTCGTTATAAAATGCTAATGGTCTTGAAACGCCCTGTAGTAAACCAAAATATCACCGCAGTTTTAAATTATACATGGCTATTGATTATCGTTCTCATAAGCAATGTAGCAAAGTACACAGAATGTTAGTAAATAAGTGGGACAAATTTCAGGGTGATTCTGCATGAAAAAATAATGACTTTCTTGTGCTCTTTTCTGATATACGGGGAGTTTTTTTTTAAACTGACGTTGTATTTGTTGCTCTGAAACCGATCGCAATAGGGATTCAAGAGGTAGTCATTGCGCATTTATGAACATGCAGTTAAGAATTTTATGTTCATCATAGCACGGATACGGATAATGACCTCAATATTTGAGAGCGTTTCTAACGAAAAAAATTGTGCGCCACTGAGATTTTTCAAACTAAAAATAATTTTTGAAGTCCTCGTTCATATTGTAACAATTATCTTGTGTTTTTTTCGTATGGGACACCGTTTGGAAGCAAAAAATTAAAACTCCTTAACGCGTATTTTTCATTTATGTAATACATTATCCAGATCTATCTACTACAACAACAGTAAACCAAACCAATAACAGAAGATAACAATAATAAAGTTTTTAATAGTCGTAAAGCTACATGAATTGTTCAAAATGACCTCCCACAGACGTGACACAAGATTCAACTGTTCGTTTTATTGATTGCCGTGTTCGCGCAAATATTTCTGATGTCTTTCTTATTGCCTCAGAGCCAGCCACTATTCGATTCCTCAGGTTATGAACATTTTCAATGGATGTGGTATAATCTAATGGCTTAAGAAAACCCCAAATTCGAAAACCTAGGGGATTTCAATCCGGCGATCGATCAGACCGTTCCGTACCTCCCCTATATATCCAAAGATTTAGATATAATGCAGTGGTTAAGCACATTAATGCTGGAATGACCTAACCATGTAAATGGTTGGCAAATTGACTGCATTTAGAGCTTGATGAAATAAATTGTCATTATAAGGTGTTTCATGTTTTGCTTCAAAATGGTAAGCCATACAAAAAAAAAGATTTTTGTTACAAATTGATCGAGCACATTAAAAATTATTTTTAAATTGAAATATCTGAGTGACCTACCATATTTTCTTGAGAAAAACATAAAATTGCGTAAACTTAAAAAAAAATTAAAACCCATAAACTTTTATTTCCCAATCTAGACCGGCTTCAGGGAAATAAATAGGTCGTCAATTTTTAAAAGAAACTTTAACACGTCGTATATCAAAAAACGAATCATTTACGGACACACCAATCATAAGCAAATTTTCATATTTTTTTCCTGCTGAATTACTGTTTGAAGTTTTGCCGCGAGTATTTTTTAACACCCTGTATATGTATGGTAAATGGTTTTCCGCATTGAATTGAAACAAATACACAATATATTAGATAGAATATTAAGCACACCTACGTAAAATCTATTTCAAAATTCATCCTAATTCCCGGTACCTTTCTAATAGAAGTCTACATGAAACCATTGCTCAGTTACTGGAGGAAAGAGACAAGGAACAAGAAGCATTTAGACTAAAGCTGATGGGATCACAGAAGCAGTCTCAAGAAACAATCGAACACCTTCAAAGAAAAGTTACCTGCCTCACTAAACTGTAAGTATAACCCATCACGTTTACTTAATTCTTGCCGAAATTGTAGCTCTCTTTATAGGGAGCAATACATTTTGAAGTTAACAAGCTGAAACTAACAATTATTTATAATAGTCTCTAATTATTTATATAAGTAAGCATGAGTAACTCAGTCAATCTTCGGGAGTTGGCGCAGTGATGCCGAAAGCCGTGCAGTTGCGTTGCAGTCACCCATTTGGTAAAAAGTTGCTCATAAAGAATGTCGTGACCTTTCTTTTGGTGTTAAAATAAAATTTCGACAAAATGGTAAAATGTTGCTCCTAATTAAATTGCGGCACAGTTAGATGCGATGAGTTATAACGAAAAACTTAGAACCGAAAATTACTCTGCAAGTTCAGAGTTGTGTGTTGAGCAAAAAATAGTGTGCTCTTAATGTCGTAAACATTTCTTACTTTAATTTAATTTCAACTTTACTAATTGTTAAGAAAATAAGAAAAGTTTTACTACGCGTTTTCTTAAAATAAATATATCAGAAACGAAAACACTCCACAAGTTCAGAATTGGGCGTTCAGTAAAGATGAGTGCGCTCTAAATGTCGTCCAATTTTATTCAAACCTTCAAAAATTAATTCAAATCACATAAAATCCTGAATTTTTCGTGCTGCGTAAATGTTGATTTGAAAATGAACGCTTTTACGGAACTGTACTCTTCAATAAAAAATTCCAACTTTCAAAGTAAAGCTACTGGAAACTTGAAAAATTGACATTCTGTAGAATCCGCTTTTTTTAATGAAATTTTGGGGTAAACTTGCACTTTAATGCTTGATATTCAAATTTCGCGTGACTTTTGTGACAAAAGATGGCGTCATGTTTCAGTCGATTTTTCAATTAAAAGAAAACGGGCAAAACTAAAACTCGACATTTTTGGCAAAAAAACATCTGAAATCCATATTTGCATATCTGAAACGGTTCTTTAGCGAAACTCTTCAGATGAACTTGTAATGTATGTAAAAATACAAAGCCCCCAAAATATTGCCAAAGCTGAAAATTAATTACAAAAGAACCAATCGTTAACAAATCCATCCTACGACTCAATTGATGAATATGGAACTAAAAGTTCTACATGTACAGGAGCAAAGTAATACTAAACTTACCGAAAGCAAGCGTAGTGACACCTGGTAAGAAAAAAGAAAATGTGTTTAGTACAGAAGGAAATCTGTCCAAAGCCATGTTATTGGAAATCAGCAAAGCAAAGAATTAGAAATGTAAAAATGCTTCAACTTCAGTTGCTTTTCTGAAAACTAAACTCAGTTCAAACGAAAAGATTTATAGTTTAGAAAACATGCGTAGCAGCTTTGTGCGAGCTGGCGCCCCATCGTCCATGTTCTACTCATTAATCCTCAAAAAGTTCGATATATCTCCCATCTAACACAAAGGACTATCGACAGATTTCGTCCGCTGTGGCCATAACTTAAAAAAACTACACTTTTTAAATAATAAAGTGAATCATACATTGTAGTTCGACCTAAGAAAATTTAAAGTTGAACAAATTCTTTTAATTTCTGTGCAAATTGTTACATGGCTATTTCCGGTATTACAATTCAAACCATTTAATTTAGTTGCGTTATCAATATAGAAGATTATAAAAAAAATCATCAAAATCTCAAAATAAATGTTATTTTCACCGGTTAGAAATAAATATATTACCAACATCTTCTATTTAACTTTAAAATGTGTCGCAAAATAAACGGAACCGAACTTGATCTTAACTCTATCAATCAATCATAATATATAATATCATCAATCATAATATATAATCAACCTACTAGTTGCGCCTCAAAGATACATAACTCCAAACGATAAAAACTTCATTCAAGAATTCATAAAAAAATAATTATGTAATTTAATTAAAGTATTTTTAACTTCAGATTTGAAGAAGTTCGCCAACGGTATGAACGAAGGGAATCACGACAGGAAGATCTAAATATAATCTCCGACTTGAAACAAGTCGTGGCCGAGCAAGAAAAGGATCTTGCGTGTATAAATGAAGAAAAGCGCTACTTCCAGATGCGATTAATGCAACTAGAACGTCATTTAGAGCGCCAATCTTCAGCGGAAGAAGACTTTGAAGATGCCGAATCTCATACACACCAAAGAGATGCTCAAGGTGCTGCTGCTCCACCACCTCCATATCCCACTCAAAATAGGCCCAACTTTTTACCAACGAATCCGAATGATTCTAATCCCAATATATTAATACCTCCCACAATACCAGAAGGTGACGAGTAAGTAATCATGAGTGACTGCTCTTTCGTAAAGACTATCAATCGAAAGTTAACTAAAACTCATTGAAGTAAACGGTTTTATAATTCTTAAGAGATACATGTATATTTTACAAGTGTGCGCAATAAACAATAACTTATTATTGTTAAGTGTCGTATATTAAAGGTCTGTCCGGTTGATTTCAAAATATATTTTAAAAAAATCGTCAAGTGGCTTATCAAGGTTTTTCTACAGTAATCGCGCTCTTAGCTGTCTACTGTATATAGTTTATATTGAGTGGACAATTTTATTTTTATATATCTTTATATAGCTGCATTTTGTAGTGGCCTTTTGGCTGGTTGAACTTTCCATTTAAACCATTTAATTGTCATATTGATAATACGGGGAAAAAGCGTTGATATATTATAAAAAATTTATAAATTTGATAGAATAATTTTCTATTTAATAAATAATAGATGCGTATTATATACCGAGAACACCTCAATCAGCTTTTGTAGTTTTGGCACTGAGGTCCTTAATAAATTTTCCATTTTAATAATTGAGTGATGTGAAAAGTCGTTTAGCAAACTTGAATAAAATTCTTTAAGCAGTGTTACTTCTAGGCTAGTCTTATGTCGACTGGCGTCGATTTGATTTATTGTTAAAAAACATACGGGGCGTTTTGTAAAATAATTTATTGGGAGGTGAAATTGTGTCTACTTATCTATCTAATGCCATAAACACTATTTTATAAATATTTGTAATTTCTGTGTAAAATAAATATAACATTTTAAGCGACTTGTTTAAAAGCCATGTGTTAAGACGTAATCACGGCTCCTAGAAAAATTGCCGAGCTAAGTACCGCTGGAGAACCGCAATCTGCAATCTTCAATGATTCAAATTGATCAAATAAAGTGTTAAAATTCTCTATGAAAAGAAATGATTTTAAGGTAAATTTATTATAGAAAAAATTGAACAAAAGAAACAGAGAGCAATAATCCGAAATTATTGCAGGTTTTCAAAAACGCTGTTAGTTTTTGGGTCATTGCTTGAGAAACAGTTGAGCAATAAAGCTCTAGTTGTCTTCTGGGTATATAGCCTTAAACTGCGCCTTTTTTATATAAAACATCATTTGTGAAAAAGTTTCATGAAAACTGAAACGCCAATATTTGTTTATCTTTGCTGCTTGCCGAAAAGCAACTTTGTTTACGCTAAATATCCAAACCAGTTGGATCGAGAACCGAAAATTTGTCGAAAATTGTCATTAAGAAAAAAACTTAAATCAGCAGCATAGCAATACAATGAGTCATCCGAAGGGCCAGCAGGCAAGCGATTATATCAATATGTAAGGTCTGTAGCTCGGGACGTTTTTTATGTGATAAACACCTTAATATATTAAATAATACCAAACCATATTCTAGTAAGTTTTGATGTTGTTAGT